TCTTTTACACTAGCTTGAATGAATGTTCTTTCGATAGATACTTATCAATAAAAAGATAGCAATCAAGCATTTTATAGTCGACTAACCGGATTCGGACTATGTACACTTGAACACATACTAGATTACCCATGCAACAGTTGCTTATTAATTTAGCAAATTAGCTTAATGATTCCGTACAAAATTTATCTTAGCAGTTGTAGATTTTACTATTTTAATTAAACATGATGTTGGATCTGATGGTTGTTGAGTGAAGAGGTAGTTTTAAGTATATTGAATAATTATGCAGCAGCATGAGTGCTGCAGCTTGTCACAACTTTGTTGCAAATGAATATTTTAAGAACATGTGGTAGATTTTGTAGTTTTTAAGAGAACTGGATGCTTTTTTTGGAGCTTAGGATTGGTTCCAGTAAACAGGGTGTTGTAAGAGCTTGTAATTAATGCCTCCATTACATCATATGCCTTAATATGGCCAGTATTAACCTTAATCACAAGGATAGTGATTAAACACAAATTAGCATCTTTAAAGTTCATGTCTTCTTAATTTATATGCTTTCAACTTGATTAAACGTTGTCCAAAAAGCATTAAATTTCCAAGAAACCCAAAAAAACGTCAGTGTTAAAAATCATGTAGATTTATATTACGTCATTAAATCGTAATGATGATAATGCTTAAAAGTTAATGTTCCTTCTTTGATCCTTCGTTAAAAATTAATTTGATACCATCATTACCTTCATTTTATTCTGTATTTTATGAACACAACAAATTGTGACCACACAAAAATTTACAAGCGTATCCAAGACATGTAATTGATAGGAAGATCGATCATAGCTGTCAGGGAACTGAATGGCAAAAGAATTAAGGAATTAACAATAAATCCGCGTCCTCTTAAAAGATAAAAGTTAAAAGCTTCAATAAAAATCGTCATTTTTTATTGATCTTTTGTGGAGATTGTTTGGGAAATGCCATCATCCTCTGCATGACTCATGAAATAAAATTGTTACGTTTCATTGTGTTGGCAAGAATATACTGAAATTCTTCGCAAAGTCTTGAGGATATTGACACTGGAATGAATCTGATGTCATAAAATTCCTGAAAAGGAAACATTCACTCAAGTTTCATCATTAACGTTTCATCATCATAGTTTTTTGTTAGACATATGAAGTCACATCGTTAAATGTGAAGTTTATTGGATAGATTCGTAATTTTGCTATAATTAAAATAATAGTAATGGTGATTGAAATGGATGGAATTCTAGACTTTATCAGGTATTTACTGAATTTATTTATAGTAAGGAATTCAAGATTGAAATATTTGATCTAGAATAGGAAAGTTGTGATTTTTTTTTATTGCAAGCAGCTGCATCACTATACATGGCTCTTCAAGATTTAGCTTCGTTAATCCGAGTTGAAGGTTAATTCTTGAGAATTATAAGATTTTTTTAACCATTAAACGCTTTATGAGTTTTAAATCAACTCCAGACTGCTTTCAACAGCAATCATCTTCAACATTTCAAAGCATCATTAACGACGAAGAATTTCAGCACGTCTTAAATATTTTTTCGTATTAAGAACACATGATTCTGAAGGTCATACGCTTAGCTTCTGTATTACGGATGAAATCTCAATTAATTCTTGTCAGTCATTAAGTTTTAGCCAGCACACTTCATTGATTTCTTAATGTCTTGTTGATTTTCAAATGTTTTATTGATGATCCTCAATGTAGTTTACCACTCAGTTATTCCATAAAAAGTTCTCATAATCATACAACTCCTACACAACTACTAGACATGAATGCTCATTGAAATGACAGCACAACTAATTCGTTTTGTCTAATATAATAAAAATAATGAATTCCGCATTGTATCCATTAGTCACTATTTTGCACGTCATACGCCTAAAACTCTAAAACCACTAAATTGCAATCTCATAAGACTCAAATATCAACCATCAAAAGTCCTTCATTAATATTTTGCATTGCAATTTTTCATCGCTTTCAAATGCTTTAATGAAATTTATATCTCAACAAAGCTCATTTGAATGTGAAGTTGAAATGGAAAGGCAATTTAAATTGTAATCTCTTTGAATCAATGAATTCATTATGATGGATGTTATATATCTTACTCGAATCTAAGTTGTTTATCGTTCAAAGTATAGCTTTTCAAAAAAGATCTCAAAACGTTTTCTGTGGCTTGCTGTAAATCTCAAAGTGGTTTGAAAGTGGCATTTCTATGGAAATTGAAATTGATTGTACATTAATAATCACATTTTTGGTGATTTTTGTATACAATTAGAGTCATTAGTGAAATTTAATTTCACTTTTACAGACTCGATGATTGCGCAACGACTGCTTCCAATTGGCAATAAATCATCACAATTGTAATAATAATGATCTTCAAATTGATATTGCTTTCTTCGCAAAATATCATGTAACTACCATAAAAGGATGCATTAAATTTATGCTACCTACTGTGAACATCAATAGCCACAACCTTTTTTTTTGCTTGTAGAAGTCTCAGCGTTTAACAAAAAAAAAAAAAAAATACAATAATGTGCGGCTTATAAAATGCTATATGAAATAAGATGAAATGCAAGCCATTTTTTTAAACATGCTGTTTACAATTTGTTTTTGCACCACTCGATTGATATTAAGTCGCCACTCGCGTATACAACTGAGTCGAATGAAATGATTATTATTTATTAAAGTCACATTTAATGGGTTATTAGAACGCTTTTTTTCAATTAATGAAGGTTGAACTATTAAAATTCAATGACAAAAACTTTCAAACGGTTTTCTAAAATTTAAAATAGAGATTCAAAATGGCGAGAATCATATTTGTCACTTCAAAACTTTTTTTGAGATTTTTGCTCTTGTTAATCCATTTAGGAATAGAAAAAATGATTAATCGACAGCTATAAAGTAGCAAAGGATGTTATCAAATAATTTAAATCTCCAAAAATTCTTACTCATTGCATAATGGAGCAAACAAATTTTCCATCCATCAAGTCATCCAGCAAAAGTAAAGATAAAATACCATTTATCGTACAAAGAGCACTTGAAAAATGAATGAACGAAGGAAAGAGACAGAAACCGCAAATGTACGGTGAATATAGACTCATAAAAGTCCTTGAGCTTACGTAACAAACAAAAGTATTTGTTAAGTTTTCATTTTCAATGCGTTCAACAGCAGCAACAGGCAACGACTGTGCCATATGTTCAGACATTATTATAATTTCGCTTGCTACACGACTCCGTTCTTAAATATGACCATTCATTATGAATAGCAGTAAAGTTTAAATAAGGTTTCTGGCATTTCTTATGTCAATATATGTACTTATGCTTGGCTATATATTCAAATGAATTCATTTTAAAGAAAAGAAACTGAGCTTTTGTAATTCCTTCTCCACCTTCATTGCGTCATTGAATCTCTGCTGAATTCTGACTCGATTTTTAATAAAATAATGATTGATTAAAGTCTGACACTGAAACTCTATCGTTTTGATCTTCTCTTGAACTATTTGTGCATGCTTCAAACTCTCTCATTGATTAATTGAAAGAACCTCTATTTATTATAATATCGTAGAACTATAATTTTCGCAAATTCATACATTTGCAAGTCATGTAGCTCAAAATAATTTCGATTAAGGTAAATCAACAGCGCGAGAACATTTTGTTCTTCTTATTCTTTATTCAATTTATTTATTTTTCCTAAAAATTCATTTTTCAAGTCGTAAGAATTTCTTTCATTTAATATCAAATTTCCTCATAGCTCACACGCTGTGCCTTTAAGTCAATTAAAAAATTGTATGGCAAATTATCAAAATGAGATGAGAATCGCACACATATGGACTTAATAAAAATAATTTTAATGAAATTTGAGGAATTTAATGGCATTAAACTGAGCGCGGGGAGAGAATAAGAAGAAGGCAATTGCTTCACAACAATGTTCAAAATTGTTGGAATTTCTACGCACGACTTGGTTATTTATTATGCTGAACGTATCGTGTCTTAATAAAATTAGAGAGAGCTAAATCAGAGTTGTTCATTTAAATCTTTAGATTAATTTGTTGAGATTGTTAAGTTAAGTGTTAAAGATTGCGGTTGAATAAGGCGAATTTTGGTTTTGCATGTTTTTTGTGATTGATAATTTCTTTGTGGCTAGAGATTTTCATTATCTTGATAATTTTTCAAAAGTATGTAAATGCTTCCAATTTATTTAAGCGATACTTTTAATTCGAGACTTCAATCAGCTCCATGTCAATTCATTCTTGATTCTTGATCACGATTAGGATGATCAAAAAGGAATCAAATCGGTCTTATATATTGAAATTAATGACAATAATAATGTTTTATTCTAGTTCCTCTTTCAATTCATGCAATACCAATCATTTCAACATAATAGCCAGCAGATATCATTTTCATCATTCTGATCATACATGACATTCTCATAGCTTCTGTTTAAGACAAAAACCTTACTGTACTTATACTTATCTCTTATAAATCAGAAGTTTCATTTCCTGCATCATTCAAATTTTAATAATCAACTCTGTAAATGCAAAGATAATCGATTTCTTATTTTTATGTGATTTATTCAAGAGCACCAAAAGAAGTCTCTTGTTTTTAACTCAACGCAACGACAATTCATCGCGATTACGATTTGAATTATTGCGATTGTTTCAAATATTCTTTATTTCCCTTCATTTCCATTTTTTACAGTTCCCGTCAACAGACTTTAGTGATATTTTCTATTTTTTGCCATCAAGAAATTGACTTAAATTGTTTGTTTATGAATGAGAATCGACATTAAGAACAAGCGCATTATTTATATTTACTTAACGGTTTTCTATAGCATGCGCACACACAAAAAAGACTTAAGAAACTAAGCCGAATGAAAGAAATGAAAATAAATAATTTCTCATGGAAATGCCAATTTTCTATCATTGTTTTCAAGAGTCTTTTGCTCGCATATATATATTTCAGTGCGCGCACGATTCAATTAAATATGAGGAAAGAGAGCCTATGCATTAAAATGGGTTACGATTCTCTCGATTTAGTTGATTCTATTCGTGAGGTTGGGGAACACAATATAAGAATGTTGAGTACGTCATGGTAAATTAAGTTTCACATTTATACAGATGATCTTCAACTCATTTAAATCTCAAACAGTCATCTCCTTTATAATTTTAGGCAACAAATCTATGTGACTATGAGAATATGCTATTATTATTCATTCTGACTTTAATTTAAAGAATAAAAGGCATGAACCGTTAGAAGCATAAATTACTTTTCTAAAAATTGAATATGCAAAATTAGCACAAGAACGTGTGGTGGGAACTATAATAAGTAATCGAAATTAAATATCCAATTAAGCTTTACTTTGAGAATGCCTTTAAGCATGTTGAATGGTATATTGCACTTTTTATGGATCTTTCAACGCTTTACTTTCTTCCCGTTTCAATGCTAAAGGTTATAAGGTTCTGTTTCTCGCTCTCTCTATTCATCCACAAAACGTGCATATACACACAATTTTTCTCTTCATTCTCTTCCATTTCCTATATATTTTTTTACTCAACCTTACCTTAACTGCTATCCGAAAAGCATCATCGTCATTCCCAATATATAGGTAAAACATAACTGTTTTTTGTCAGAAGAACATTTTTGTTAGATTTTTAGATGATTATTTAAATATATATAAAATAAGCAACTCACGGGTCTGCAAACAACAGCAGAAAATCTTTTGCTCTCTCTCTGGCTGTGCTACATAATAATATGCCAGTCATATCACATAACAACTAGCCACACAGCTGACAGGGCAATTTTTATATATAATTTTTTAATTGAATGTTCAGAGATGCAATTTAAGATTGGCTTTGATTCTATGCTTGGGTACTTAAATATTGTACTTACAATGTTCCTAAATCATGTAGTTCTTGTTGTCGTTCTTATTCTTCTTGTTGGTTCTTGAGGTTTGATCAGATTGGTAATTTTTTGGGTGTTCCTTCAAATGAATTTATAATGACTGCTTGTTTTATGCTGACTTGTTGGATCTAGTTCTAGATTGTGGAATGAGGCATTGAAATTTATTGAATTTCTAATTTATAACGGTTTTTTTTAATTTGAAAATTTACGGGTTTTTTGAATTGAATGAATAAGTTTAAAATTTTAACGGATTTTTTGTGATTCAAAGAAAATTTAAATTTTTGGATTATGACTGCAACTTACATGCAAGACTGTGCAAGACTGACAAACAAATTAAATTCCTACACAATTAAACAACTTGCAGTTACTTTTCATCATAAATTTCCGCTAGTTTTTGATAAAAATCTTTCTCTCGTGACTGCAACAGAATCCACTACTCATTATTGCATGGTTAATTGTGGCGAGAAATGTGACAAATTTTTAATTTAACTCTATAAACCATTAATTAAATTTACTTAATCACTTCTATTTTTCTCTCTCTCTTTACAGTAACATGGCGCTTCTCAAGAAACTTTTACAAATTTTCATTAATTTAATCGTAAGTACCACAATATTATTATTTTATGGCTACAAAATGATCTCTTTTCTGTTGAGCTGAGCATTATAATTAGTCATCCATAACACAGGCCATTGAAATACTTTAAGCTCATTGTGAAAATGTCAAAACAGTTTGACTTATATTTGATGTCAACAATTCTATTCATTGCTTTGCAAAATGAGACTATAGACTATAATTGACGGGTCGAGATGAGATGACATGAAATTAGGGTGACTATCAAGGAGAGATAGGTGAAATGTTGTAAGCATTTTGGAAATTCTTGTTATATGAATGTCATATGTAATGCTTGAGACATTGTTCTTTGGTGAGAATTGAACTCGCTTGCTTAAAAGAAGATAACCTTTCGGCCACAGAGTTCTTACTCTCTCACTGGCAGATTTACCTACAGCCAAATCCAATCAGTTCCAAAACCCATCGAAGGATGGATTCATTCCTCTTGTAGGTCATTGCTGAATTTCTTCCGATTACATTTTTAATGGCTACTCAAAAATATAAATATAATCTCTTCTGTATGTTTATGAATTCTCATTGAAATACGGGTCATATTTCCCACAAGAATTTATGGTTAGTAGCATACATCATTCAGCTTCCCAAGTGCTTATTTCTGCAAATAACTACGGGTTAACCACTAGAATATTATTACTTTCTAAATAATTTAATCGTAACATGCAAGTCACCCAAACGAAAAGACCTAAGCACACAAAGCCATTAAGATTCTGCAAAATAAATGTGCTAAAAATGACTACCTCACATTGTAAGTAATGAGAGATGCCTTTGGGTTAGTCTATTCATAAGAATATCTTGTGGGCTTTTTGCAGCATATATTTAGCGATGAGGAAATCTCTCATTTTTTATTTCTCTTCACACAAGCATCGTACAGAAAACTTATAACCCAAATCGAATATACTTACTGGTGTACTTAACAAATATCCATCTATTGATGAATAAACAGGCATGGAAAGAAGAAGATGAAAGATGTTTTTGAGGTTCGAGACTGATTTATAATGTCAATAATTCAGCGCCAAGTCAGAAACAAACGGTTCTTTCCATACTCATCCACCTTCTTCGCTCGTAAAATGTTTGTCTAAATATTTGATGGACGTGCTTATGAGTTCAATAATATTTTTTTTTGCCATGAGCGTCATCCTCGTCTGATTCAAATTGAAAGAAATAGAATTGAGCTAAACAGTTGGAACTAATGGATGGAATAAAATAAAATAAAACAAAAAAAAATATAGAGAGAATGAGCATTAAAGTAGTTCATGCATATTTATAATATTAAGTGTATATATGCACTCGAGCCATTGCCACTGCCTTTAACAACAATGGAATATTAAATAAGGCACTTCATAAAATACATAGGAGTTGGATATGCAATTTGGAACAACAGGGAAAGAAGTCTGACTTTATGAGATGGAAAGAGAGCGCGCGCTCTCTGCTAACTGTAACTGCATGCTGCTCAGCATACTAAGCTCGCTGATTTTCAATTCACGAAACCCAAGCGACGTAAAAAATATTTTTTTTTTTCATTTTTATGATTGCAAATAATAGCATTTTTGTGTTATTCCTATTGTTAATACTATTATTCTAACGATATAATGCTATGGTACAGCAGTGAAGTACACCAGAAAATTGCAAACTCAAGACGCTATTTAATAAAATTTTAAAAAGCTGCTCCTATCCATCATTCATACAGTTCTTTTATGTTTTGTACACAATCTTATGATCGGTTCACATAACACTGGTAAAGAAGTAATTGAAACTAGATATGTAAAGTGCTTTTAGGCAGCAGCTTGTTATATTATGATAGATTAATTTATAACGAATTTTAGAATTTTAAAAATTCTTACTTAAAATCCTTACGTAATTAAGTAAGTTTTGCTTACGTCAAAAAAGGTTGAAAACATCAAATTTGATTCAATCTTTTAATGAAATTCATTAAATCACAACAATCTTTCATTAGAATTCAAGTCATATTGATAGAAAATGTTGTAAGACAAATGAAGAAACATAATATCAATTCAATTTTTAAATTCCTAGCCATATTGCACTTAAAAATGCATTTTTCTCTTGACGTGCATCAAACAATGTAAAGTAAGAAAAAACATTAAAAATGTGAGAAACGACTGAAAAAAAAGATCGCATATATTGAATTCCATTCATGGTGCATGAAGATCATGATGATGTCAACGACTACAATAGCAAGTAAGTTCTTTCCTTATCGAGATGATGAGATACAGCTTTGATGTAGAAAATCTTTATGGAATCAAATAACTGTCAATTCTATTCAGCAAATCCAGAAAATTTAATTGATAATGACATTCATGTCTGATTTGTCACTTGTTTTGTGCCTCTATTGAAAGATCTATAGAAGTGTAAAAAAAGTTAATTACGTAATGTGCATCTTTAGTTCAGTTCCATTTCTCATCATTTGTATGTACGCCCTACATCACATACATCAATTGTCTATCTAAACTGTTTTCGGAAGCACATTAAGACAAACTTAACATCACTCATAAGTAAGTGAGCAAATGGGAATAGAAATATTTTTTTTTGAGCGAGGCATTAGCGTGCAGGTTGATAGAGTTGACCTAAAATCGTAAGATGCTTTTATGACACATTCCCTAGCGGTAATTGTTCATTAGTAGATGAGATAAAAAAAGTCATTTCTTTTGTCTGATGACTTTAAATTTGTTGTTTACATTTCATCTGACATCATCATCATCATCTACCTAACCGGTTGGATATACATATTGATATCGTAATATGACAAATAGGCACAGAAGACGTGATGTGATGAATGAAATGAAGCGTAAAAGAAAGAAATTAGAAAATATACAAATTATTTCTATGAAAACCGAGAGTCAATTTATTGTTACTAATCCACAACAGTGTGGAACTGTGGAAGTGAAAATATAGGTCAGTGCAGTATAAAATGCGAGCAATTCGGATCAAACACATGTCTATGTTAATTTTATAACCTTATTTGACGCGTTGCGTAATGTTTTATATTATTTAACATTTTTATTTTAATCTCCTTAAGTAGCTCAAGTTACAGCCTAAAATTGATCAAATTGGCAATGGTTGCTTATTATTATTTAAAAAAAATTATGAAATTGTTCAGCATGATTGTCGTGCTTATTTGCTCCTTTCTTTTCTTTCACCCGGCGGTTACATTTTAAGTGGATAAGTAGTAAGCATGTAGTTTAAGAAGAAAGGAAAAGAAATTGCAAAAAAAAGACATTTGTTTATGTTGTTATGCTAGTTATTGTTGTTAATGCAGTAAAAAAGGAAAGAATAGAGCTTGAAAAATCTTTTGAAGATAAAAAAAAGAAACGATTTTAATGCTGTTCGCGCGCCTTACTGAATAATGTATAAATCCAGTTTCATTTCATTATTTCATTCTTCTCTGTTGTCCCGCATTTGAACTTTCTTACTCAACATCACAATCGATACGCGATGAAATAAGCCTTTGAGGCAATTACGCTACATACCTCAATATAAACAGTAAGTGATCACATGAGAAAAAGCAGCACACAAAAAAAAAATTTTTATTCACTTATTTTTATCGATTAAATAAATTATTAAATCGAGACCTGATTCCATTATTCATATTACGGTTATTACTTTATTTTTTTAAATACTATAGGTTAGTGATCTTTCAATGGATGATCGTAAATACCTTCTGGCCAAACCCGAAAAATATCTGATGCGGTTTTAGCAAAGAAGAATGAATCTTGTTTAATTCAGTTTGGTGGATATGGGATCTTGAATTGTGATCAATTGGTTAGAGTCGAGTGGACGATGATGAAGATTTCACTTTAGATTTTGAGGAATTTATTTGGTCTACTTTCTAGTTTATTAATTTAAAAAGGTTAAAAGTCAAGAAGTTAGGGGTCGTTCACTTATGACGTCCGATAATAACGGTCATTTTTCAAAAAAGAACAAAAGAATTCCAAGAATCTCTATTGTTTTTTTCTTGCTGACCCCTTCCGGACGTCATAAGTGAACAGCCCTTTAAGGCTTAGCCTATATTTTAATTACAAAAATTATAACAATCTTATTCTACAATTGAAGATTGGTTAACTTCAAGGAATAAGGCACTGAGTGAAGATTTATAAGCACTAACATGTATGGCTGAAGTAGATCGGGGATTGCTTGACAAACTTTGATGATTTTATAGTGAAGGTTTCATTACAATGAAAGATGCCATGCAGACGTACTTTAGCCACACACTAGCATAGCCCGATGAAATCGTACATATATCTTGAATATTATTTGAAAGTTGAACAGTTGCTTCTTTTTTGACTGTTTCCCAAATGTAATTCACATCAATTCTTAAAACTTACTTTTAGAATTGAAGCTTCAGAATGTTCATCAAAACTCCATTAAAAATGCGCCTCAAAAATCCACCAAAAATCAACTCCATAAATCTCTTATTCATTATTAACTTAAGAAGGCTTGTCTCGCGCGCGCTCCCGCCATGAAAGCACACTATGAATATAGATTAAAATGCCTTCGCTTGCTCTCTGATGATTGATTGTGATGAGAAGAATAAGGAAAAGACCTTAGACATATACATAATATTATTGAGAGTATTCGAGATCATAAAAGAATTTGTATATTGACCTCATAAAGACCTTTTTGTTTTTAAGTTAGATCACAAAGTATTATGTTACCTTGCACAGCTATTATGTCGCTTATCTTCACTCTACTTAAGATCACTAAAATGCTCAGTTTTGTTAATGCACAGATATTCGATTTTTACCGTTTGGCAATCCCAAAAAAATATACAACATAGCGAAACTCTTTGACATATAAACATGGGTAAAAATTAAAATAGTGAGAAAGAAGGTTAGGCTGTTTAAGACAAGTTTAAGATTAATTAATTATGAGGTTCTCTTTCTCTCACATGCTTGCCTGTTTCTATACATGAAAAACTGTTTAAAATTTTAAATTGCCATAGGTATTTATGACCTAACAGCAAGAAGAATCTGATGATAGATAATAGAAGAGAAGGAACACAATAAGATGAGAAAGAAAAACATTTCGCACTTCTACTGACTAGCAACTTATTTTTGTTTTTTTATTATTGCTGTTACTGGATGTTTTATTACCATCAAGATTGATAGTAAAAACAGATCGATAATAATAATAATAATAAAATGAAAATTGTGTGTGAATTAATCTTGTAATGTAGCCAGGCTACGATGAGATCATTAAAATAAAATGTAGGAAAAGACATAATATTCGCGTTAAGTGTTATAATAAAATATATATAGGAACTTTAAGAATTTCTTGGGGCGATTTATATGGAATTGTTGCTCATTTAAATGGCTGAATTAATTACTTTGATTCCATAATTTATATCCTCATGCTTCAGTTTACAGTTATGACTTGTATGTTCGTCAATGTTTATAAAATAAATTTCATAAATTCTGACATGAACAAAAAATAAGATTGCTTTTAAAAACTACTTTTGCATGCTTTTTACGAATTAAGCGCATAATGAGCTTATTCAAGCTGTAGAGGTGTTGGTTGTTTGGAATTTAAAGTTTTAAGAAGGTTAGGTCAATTATTTTGGAATGTTAAGTTTGGATCATATTGTTGCATTCATTTGCTTGCAAAATTATTTGAATTTCTGGTTAGACTTCTCAGAACTGAAGCTTAGGTTTAGGCCAATGCTAGCAAACAGAAATTTTTGAGTTCTTATTATTCGAACTTCGAATTTTTGAGGTTCTTATTTTTCGAAAATCGAATCTTCGAAATTCTTATTTTTAAAAAAATTCGTTGTGAATTATTATTTTTCGAGTAGTTTGTAATTTTAGTGAACATTCCTACTAGTTTTTATGATTAAGATAATCACTGTGATGAAATTGTATTCCTTAAATTTTTATGCTTTTAAAAACTGCTAGTTAAAAAAAAATAAAAAGTAGCGGACTTTCTTATTTTGAAATTTTAAAAAAATACCGCGCGAAAATTTTGAAATTTTTTTGTTTATAACGGACTCTGTTCTCTTTGCTAACATTGAGGTTTAGGTTAATGTGATCTAAGTTCTGATGAATTAGGGATTTGGACTTTTAATGTGCTTAATACAGACTTGCTTGGGATCATAAATTTGAAGTTTTTTTTAAAGAACTATACTTCATTAAATCTTTAAATAAAAATATTGAGTATATTAAAGTTGATTGCCTTTTTGTTGAAGCTTCTAGTGATTAAATTACAAAATGCAGAACGCTATCAAACATTTGCAGCTTTAGATGCATCTGATCTAAATAATCAAAAACTTTGAATTTCTGAGAACTCGAGCAACCTTTAAAAGCATCAATTTCCTTTCCAAGTCACACAATCAAAAAACTTCAGTACGTGATCAAACAACTCAATCAAAAAGGTTGACATTTATCATTCTCAGACCTTCCTCTTCATCTCACGTCTCAAATTCTTTTGACATTCTTTCCATAAACCATAAAAGCATCACAACAATATGATCTTTAACTGTTCTACATCGTAAAATGTCAGTGCCGATAAACATATTATCCTAAAATTCTCTCATAATCTGGGTCACGACCAAAAATATCACACACAGAGCCACCAAAAATATCCGATTACATTTTGTGAAAAATCTCTGTTATTTAAATTAAGTTGTAAGTTGTTCGGACCGTAAACAAAACATTTATATTTTTTGCAACGATACACATCTTTGGATGTGCATGTACATGGTGGTCGATGTTAGATATCGTAACATCCAATTAGCTTGGAAAAATTTCGGTAGCCGATGGGGACAGATAAATGACAAAAAACTAATATAAAGAAGAATGAAGGAAGACGCGCAAAGTACAGAAGGTATCGTCTCTTTTTTTATGTGTAATAAACGACTCGAAAAAAGGAACATAAATTTCTAACGAGAACGCAATTAATTTTGTAAAGAGCCACGAGAGGCAATAATTTTTTAAGTTCTCTGATTACAAAGTCAAGTGAAATGATAGAACTAGAGATTAACTGAATTTTTTTGATTGTGCTGGGGTGGAGCTAGAAATTATTGAAGGGGTTCAGTTTATCAATGAAAGAGGGAGGAAGGGAATCGAGATTAGAGCAAATTTCAAGTTTAAGGGAGGAATTATGACTTTCTTGGTCCAAGATGGAAATGCTGACTAATAGTTCGTATAAAAAAAGAGTCAGCTTCGCCCTTTACTTGGTCCCCTACCTAGCTACGCCCATGTGCTTACTTAATAAACGCGAGAACGAAATAGAAATGAAGAACTAACAGTTAATGGAGCAATTTTAACATTTTTTCTAATGGATTAAAATGCGTTTCTATGCCTTATTCTCACCATTTGCTTTAAAAAATCTTTACATGGGAATGTATATGAAATTATGGTTTGAGTTTTTCTTAATTAAATTTATGGACATACAGTGAGAGTTAATTAGCCACGAGAACTGCTTAATTGGAAGATTACTGTAGATATTTAATAAATTAATTTTAATGCTTATAGACACACAATCAAATTTAGCCGGAGTCATTGTTTTTAAAAGGCAGAATTGCGCAACTTTCTTCTTCTTGCCAGAAATAATGGAGAAAAAAAGAAAGGTGGCGATGACTGTTTGTTGTCGAGACATCAAAAAACAAAATTTATGATTATTTGTCTTTCACAATGTTCATTAAAATATTTTTATTTCACTCATTCCTATGGCATTTCGCTTGTTGTTACGTTATTCCTCGCTGCTTGATGCGACTTTAAGCTGAAAAATTCTTTTTCGTGTCGTTTCTTGTTGCTTGAATTTTTTAAAGTTATTACCGGATTATATCTCATTTTTTGAAATAGATTTGTAATCTCATCTAAATTTTGTTCCTATCCGTTAGCTAGCGTAATTCATAGCATAATTAATCTTCAATGAAAATATCATAATCTCTTTTACATACGCTTATGAAATGTTATATTAAGCTTCGAATATATGAGGGTCAGCAATTACCTTAAATTGTAGTGATGAGCATTCGATCAATGATGAGTATTAAATTTATAATTTTATACGGAAAGATGGAAGAATTGGGATTCTAGGTTACGAAATTACAGTTGAGAGTTCGTACATTTATATGGGACACCTTTATGGAAGCAATTGCTCTGTACCTAATCTTGGGGTCATAAAATTGTGTCTTACATTGTGTTTGTTTTGCAGTTTCTGTTAGAAATCGATGAATAATTTCTTATGAATTGCGTAAAATACAGTTGCTTCCCATAAGCAATAAAGTTCCGTCAGAAATTTTAGAGAAAAAAATTCAATTTTATTAAAACTGACAAATTTATGTTTAAAGTCCATAAAATGAGCTAGTAATTTTCAAGTTAAATTTCCCAGATTATTCTGTGTTTGTCAACTAATAAAGTAGTTTGAATTGATGACAACATTTCATGCTTTTTAGAGAAGCTGGTTGATTTGGCTTGGATTGTCTAGATTCCTTGGGTCTTGATCTGTATTGTGCCAAAGACTTAGACTTATGTCGCTCAAAATCATGAAATATATCCTTAACCCAGTCCTAATCTTTCTGATTCCCTACTCAGTCGTTGCTCAGTTCCTGTACTATCTCTTTCCCTCCTTTGATCATCTTATTGACGAGGACGATTCTGGATTCTGTTTTAGGATTATAGATTTGATTGACATGAACAACGTTAATTATCAAGCTGTTCTGAATTTCTGATTGAATTGATATATTTACGTAAAGTTCTAATGCTATAAAGGTAGTTCCACTTCTAAGGGTACACATAAAGAAAGCTCAAAAAGCCGATCCCAGATATGAGGGAATCTACTGCAAGCTTTAATAATTTCTAAAAGCACATCAATTACTTCAGACAAAAAATTTAATGTTTTAGCTTAAAAAATATCGCCAGACAAAAATGTGATTTTCGTAGCACGAGGAAAAGAAATATTTGCCTTACCTCAAACACCTCAGCGGTTAACTAAGCTTAAAAATGTTTTGCATTAAAATGATTTTCCGGTGGTAATTAAATAATTTCAATGAATGTCAAAAGTACATAATGACAAAAAACAAATTAATTTGTTTCTATTAAAACCTGATCAAAGCTTATGTCACCTTTATACAGACATGTAGGTATATCAGATTAACAATGCCAGAATGTTTCTAATTGGCCAATTTATAGTTTATTAAATTTAATTAAAATGCTCATGTGCGACAGACAAGAGAACAAATTTCATAGCCTCACCACGTAATTACTATTCCTAATGTGAAATTATATTATTAACTATGGAAAAAACGTGTTTCGCGCTAAGTCCATAAAATGAACCTTACTTCTTCATTACATTTCATTCATTGATGATTTCATTTTGTATTTTTTTTCTCAATATTTATTTACAGACAATAACAACATTAACTCATAGTGCACAACTTCCTCCAGTCAAACGTAAGTACCTGAATAGACTATTTGATTATTTTTTTTTATTTCACTCGAGCTTCATCGCAAACGATCGACAATCAAGCCTTTTATTTTTGTTTGTGCAAAAAAAATAGAGAGATTTTCTCACTGCTGGTGCCAGTGCATGTAGACAGCGTTTATAGATATTTGCACAGTGCCTTACTTTATAAACTATAAATCGAGAGCTGATTATAAGCAGCACAACACAAAAAATGCATGAATGTTCATGGTTCCAAGAAATATCTGTCCATTTAGGTATATGTATCGAGATATAAACATGTAATAAACATTTTCTATATGAGGTAATATTTTCATAGTCACGCTCACTATATTAAAAATGTCTTAAACTGCAATTCAGCCTAGCTGGAGAAATGTTTGGAAATCATGATTAAATTTGATAAAAAGGGAAGTTTTATTGTTTGCATGCTGGTTTTATAAGAGGTGGGTATCCTTGTGAGAATCTTGGGGATCACAACGCTTAGATGTTGTGCAAAGGAATATCGATTTAAATAGATTCCAATTTATAGGATTTTTTCTGAATCAAAGCACCTATTTAAATTGAGAAGCCCTTGTTCAATATCAAAGCTCGAAGTCGATAATTTTTTTTTTTGAAGTCGAGTTGACTTTGAGGTCTGTATAATATGAAGTTATGGACAGTGAAGGAACAAGCATTATTGTTTTCTGGGGTTGGTGTTAAAGAATACGAAATATCCAAAAACTCTGATAAAGCTAATTAAGTTAAGTTCACTCCCAATAGTTCTTCTTCCCCTCCTGTCCTTACCTATTTAATAAACTCTTATCTACCTCTGTTGTAATCTAAATTTAAAGTCAATCAGTTTCTATTCAGATCACGATTCCCCAAAATTACTCGTAATTCACTTCACTTGCTCAAAAAAAAAATAATAATCACATTCTACTTATGCATGGAAAATGATCAAAATTGGCAGCTCAAAAGAGAAAGAAAACTTTTTTCAATTGACTGTTTTTGAAAGTTAAAAAAAAACTGCAATTTAAGTAACATAATCATTCAATTGAATGTATCAAACCTAAGCTAATTCAAGTACAGCTATCATTAATTTTCATTTTTCTTAACGACTTTCTGATTTCACATGTAGGCGCTCGGTTGATAAATGCAAATATTTAAATTACCCAGATACATTTCACCTAGTAACTTCGCACATAATAAATATACGAGAGAAGAAACAGCTTAGTATGCAGTAAGGTGGATAGATGATACGACTGGTTGAGGTATTGACTTTAATGTCGCGATGAGTGGAATCAGCGCATTTAATGCTTAGTTTATGCACCTCATTTGCATGGGAATGCGTGCAAGTTTTTTAGAATGAATCCCAGGGAGCTGCTTGACTAGAATTACTGTAGAATTTATTTTTATTGGAAGACTCGCGTGTAAAGAATGTCTATGTTCTGCTTGAGACTACAAAAGAAGGCTGTGAGCCTCATTTCTAGTACATATGATTCGAAAAAGGATATGTGAAAAATTTTCCATACTCAGTCTCGAACCCATGATCACTGTATGGGGATTGCAATAATTAGGTACTGAAGTACTAAACCATTCCGCCATCGAGTCACTTCAGCTCTCACATAAGTGCTTTACAAAATCAAATTTAGAAGAATCAGTTTATGTCGGAAAACTCAATTTTATACCAAAATTTGATCAGTAATTTTCAAATTTGCATAAGATTAAGCAAGGTCATTAGCACTACTGGATTCCAAACCAAAAATTTTTTTAAGGAAATTGAATATTATTCCCCATAAATCAATGAGATTTCAAAATATTTTCAATATTCCAAACACATCCTGTCGTGACAACCTTCATAAACACCAAGATATCCATTCCATTGTCAGGAAGACCTTAGCAAAGCAATTAAATTCTATTCAAAAAACCAAATTCAGTAAACCTACTAGCCAGCATGTTAGCAAAAATGAATTCAGTAACAACTCATTCAGCCTGTTAGCAGGAATCTAAACATAAACACATTCGCGTCTAACGAAAAAAATAAAGAAGTAAAAAAATGCTCAAAAGGCATTTAACAGATCAAATTGCGTTGATTATTCGTAACTTGCAAGCCTCTTCCTCGAATGCCACCTATGAAACCGCATTTAACAACATTCTACATTTCTTTATTCATTCATCACACATCTTTAATGCATATTTTTCTAAGGATTCCTATTATTCTTCATTTCTGTTGTTTTATTCTCATCACGAAATAGAATTTCTTATTTATGCAACAAATGATTTCATGTGATCGATAAATATGAAGGAATGAGTATATAAAAAAATATCGCAGCATGAAGCAGCGATCGAAATAATAAAAAAAAATTGTATAAAAATAATTTATAGACGTGAGCCTCGCGAAATCTTGTTAAACTTATATTTTATGAGGCGATGGATATAAAGTGACTGGTCAGGACCGTAATTAGTTGATTGAGAGGAGCGGAGGACTAGTTGAATGTTCTAAACCCTTAAATTATCTAAAATTGATTTTTCTTTAAGATGCCAGATTTTTGAAGACATACTGTAGATCTCGCTATAACTGCCATATGTGTATGCTAATGTAAAACGAGTCGGGTTCGATGGGAATCGAACCCTTGACCTCAAAACAGGCGATCTCTGACCACTCGATTAGAGATCGCTGCCACTGGATCACCGAGGTACTTATCTCTCTTCAGCTATCAATGCTTAGGCTTATCTACTACAGATACTGACTTTGGGTATAACCTGGGAGCACACCAAGCATAGCTTAAGAGAATGATTAAGGTTATAATATTGTTAGATTAGAGAGTAGGACCTGAAACATGCCTTTTACTAGAGCTCTTGACTATTTCCAACAATCCATTTCCTAACTGCATCACTGCGACCGACAATACATTTAATTCCATTAAAACAGATATGCTTTAATTTGTGTATATACTCACTGCAAACTGTGAAGAGAGAAATTAATTTTTCTATTAATTGGAAATGGCAATAACTCATTTTTTTTGCATATCCACATCTCTGCGGCATGTTCAATTCACTCGTGAGCGTAATAATTTCTATTTGAATGAGTTTTTAAGTCTATTAAAGTCTTGTGCAGTGCCAACAGAGCCATAAAAGAAAAGTGTAAAGAAGAAGATTAAAATAAATGAATGGCAAACTTCCTGGAAAAAGATGGTAGCAGTGAATGCCTTTCTCACCGTCTTAAAGTCTTGTAATTATTAAGAAAGAGGAGCACAGCACACAACTTAAAAATAATTTCAAATTAATGCTTAATTGCGTTATAATTAAATTTTTTTTATATGCCAAAAGCATTTATCGCAAATATGAAAAGAGAAGCAACAAAGGCTCTTAAATGGAAAAAATTGCGCGCCCAATAATCATAATAATAATCTCTTTCTGTATTCACACAGTGCCTTTCCTCGAGTTATTTGCAGTGTTTATTGCCATAAAGCCTTCGATCTTCAATGCATACATACACTTCCCTCCTTGCTATTGTAATAACAATTGTTATATTCAATAATAAATTTAATCTATTTGCCTTTATTTTATAATTTTTTGTTCCTTTTTCTACCAACTTCCACCACCTTATTTTCTTCTTTTAATAGGAGTATTTATTTCTTCTGTTAAGCCAATAATTTTTATCTTCCTCAAATGCATGCCGTTGTGTACTAGTCAAGTTCGTCTTGTAGGCGACTTCATTGGAAGATAGACGTGTATGCACATAGAGGAATTGATAAGAGAGGAGATGGGGTAATGGAAAATTAATGTTTATTGCAGAGCGCATTTATGCTTAAATCCTGTATTATGATGAGTTGTAATCATATAAAATTATGAAGAACTTTGTTTTCGAGATATTGTGACTGAACTGGTTTTTGAGTAGGAAATAGATGCAATAATTAATTCTTGGGTACTTAGGGGCTGTTCAGAAATGAATGGTGAATTCTTATGAGGGTCAAAAGCACTGCTACATTCCTCGCAAAGGGTATGAATAATCACATTTTTAATTGACGTCACTTGTGAACGACCCCCAAAGCTGAAAAAGCTTTGCTAATTTTTTTCAAACCATTTAGTTCTAAATTAATTAAATCGCACCAAAAGAACTTCCTAGTGCAACTTTTTGAACTCCAAAAAAGCTCAATTGATCTTAACCAAATAAGCTAAGGTGTGTGAAACCAATTTTTATTTTTTTTTGCATTAACAAACAAGTCATTCATCGTCTTAAAAAAATATTCGTACCTATATCAAATTAAAAAATTCATTACAGTGCTTCCTAATCTGCAAACGGAAACCATTCAAGGTTTTGTGATTTCTTGCAATTTTTTTCATAGCTGCTTGTAGTATTTTCTAAGAATAGCAACAAAGTATGATTGCTGGTAGATTTTCTGATGTAATTTTAAAAGCAAAACGGAACTAAGAAAATGATGAAAAGTTGGCAATGAACTTGAATCTATTCTCAATTGTACCTCTGCCACAAGTATGTCTCTGGTGGATCTGCTAAAGAAGTGTAGGAACAGGGGGCTTATTTCTTAGACTTCCCATGGTGCTCTCTCGTAGAGCAACCGATGCACAATTTACTGTGACTATAGGAACTTGCCCCGTGCGGCTACAGAAACCGAACTTGTCGTTAGGATCTTTTAAGATGCTTACAAAACTTACCTAAAATCGCCAATTTTATAAACTCAGCACCAAAACCAGTCCATCCCATTCACATAATATATCCACTAATAATCATTACTTTAATGTTGATGATCGTCACTTAAAATTAGCTATACTATCCACATACACCACACACATGCACAATCAGCACTAAGAACAGCAGAAGCAGCAGCATCTTCATCGCTCTTTTCTTCCACTCTCTTGACTCTGTTATTATTAAAAAAAAGAATGGGAAAAAGAAGATGGAAAGTCAAGTTCAATTACCTTCGTTTGTGCCTGTTTTTAAAAGATTCTTTTATTATTATTCTATGCACTTCATGTTGCATAGAAGAAGCATAAACAGAACAGAGTAAGAAGAAAAGATATTTCTAAATAGTGGAGTTTGAAAACAATGTCACATCTTATGTTTACTCATACTTTGTTAGCGATGCCATTAAAAATGCAAATAATAGAATAGAAGCGTTTCATTGATTATTGCATAAATTATGAAGCAGCATTCTTTGGCTGACTTGATTGTGCAAAAACAAAAAGAAAAGAAAAGAGTTTGTCGATTAAAAATGTAAATTTGCCATCTAACATGTGCATTGAATATTTCATGAACCATAAACTGCAACAATATGAGTTTATCACTATGTGACTCTCTGTTGTCGTCTTATGCTTAGCGAATACGTAAAAAAAGAATTATGAGATAGGAAATTGTGTATGGCAATGGAGGCTTATGGTAAAATTCTTAACGGGAAACGACAACTCTTCCATATCTGAACAGCAGAAAATCGTCATCACATATTATATTGGTTGGTTCATTAAAATTTAGTCACGGAACTTAAGCTTATGTCATGCAAAAGGTTCTTTCATAACGAAATAATTTTATAAGTTGAAGCAGTGTCGGAGCAAGGGGGTGGCTGGATGTCCCCTCCTCTGGTAGCTCTCACTTTTGAAAAATGTTTGATTTTACAGGAATCAAACCTATCCATTCTCCTCCGCCTATAAAATTCTGGCTGCAACCCTGACTTGAACCTTAAGAACGAAACAATGGCATAAAAACGGCTATGAGGCCGTCGTAGCAATTGAGTCGTGCATGTCCCCAATTTTTTTTTGTATTTTCTTTTCTTTCTCTCTTGTAATAAAAAAGTGATCGGTTCGGACGAAATTGTTGCGATGGTAGGCAATAAGATTGCGTAATGAAACATTCCAATTTTATTTTTTTAATCACATATTTTTCTTACATTTCCTTTATCCATTATTGCATTCTTTAACTGTCTTTATTCTCTTTTTTTTCGTACATTTTTTTTAGGACAAGCCACACTACTAGTGAAAGAACCAACAGTACAAATACAATGTCTGCAAGGTTCCATTCTTATAACAATAAAAAATGCTCCATCGAGCTACGACGGGTTCTTTAGCGGACGAATTTATCCCAAAGGACTTGCGAAGAACTCAACATGTCTGACAGAGTACAGGTAAGATTGAAATTATTTGATTTTAAAATTCTGCGAAGGCTTACATGAGATTCAAGATTGGATGGACAAGAATTTTGTGACTTTTGGCATTTTCAAATGAATGTTGGTGGATATTGAATGCTGTTGTCATCTGATATTACGCAACATAAGCGTTCGAGTGCAGAACATGCAGTCATTAAGAATTCCTAACATTTTATGCTAGTTTTATCTCCACCTTTAAGATATGCGACATAAAACAAACTGATTATAATCTTGTCTTACCATTTATGAGTTGAAGTGCTATAAATCTTAAGAATCTTATTGTTGAAAGCAGTCTTTGGTGTAATAATTCTTTCTAGCATCACATTACACCACGTCCACCATACATAATCTATTATAATGACTATAATCATTGTTATTCTCATCCACAGGGATTATCAAGGCCCTTTAAAATACAAACTGCCACTAAGGAGTTGCAACACAATGCCAATAGAGACGGTAAGTGGAGTATATAGTAACAATTTCAATCAATCATCGGTTAAGCCTCCTGTAAAGCTAATTTTTAATTCGCACATACATACGTGAGCTACATTTCAAAATATTTACATACTTCATAATTTGTGCAAATTTATTATTATTAACTCTCTTTTTTTTGTGTGTTAAATCAATTTACTTCATTGTTTTTATTTCTGTGCCTATACACAACCTAGCTAGCTTGGCAAATGATGTAAGGCGTTGGTGTTACGTAAAAGTTTTATATGATAATTTAAGGAATGAACAACAATCACAATAAAGTTTCTCTCGCAAGCAGGCACTCGTGTCAATTATATACGAAATTTATAAAGTAATATGCAAATGCGGTACTGTGTGTGACTCGTACACACATCATTTACTGTTTGTCAAGAGAACTGACGAGAAATTATAGCTGTGGGTGGATTCTTAAGTGAATAGAGTCTTTATCGGTTTCTTGACGCGAATACCTACTCAGTAAATTGCGTTACTTAGAACTGTGCTTCAGAATCTCATAAGGAAATTCTACTTAGTTCATCCATGAACTTCACTCATGTCTTTTTAATTGCTCATATCTCTATTTTTTAATCGCGCAGGACATGCCAAATTGGGAGAGTAATAATCGTTACAACGGAATCGCACTTAAGTTAAAGTATGAAGTATTCTGTAGGTCGAAGATCGTGAAATGACTTGTTCATTCTTTCAAGGTTCTTAAACCTTTCTCATATGGATGAATATTCTAAAATTGGTCTCATCTTAAAAATTGTCTTGATTCCCGTTTAACGATTAAGTTATATAAGCAAGTCCGCATTTAGAATCGTTGAAGTAATAACTTAAGTGGGCGAACGTATAACAAGAAATTAATTTGTTTGTCTTTTCCTTAACAAAGGCATAAACTACTCAATTTTAAAGACCCGCGAGTGAGTGAATTGGAAAGATTTGTAAATTCAATAACCGACTGTAAATGAAATTAACTGTTTTTTTTTTTGGCAAAATAAGCCTTCACTTCCTATGTATACACAATTTATTTTCGTTGTGTCAATAGAAATAAAACTAAAGGTATTTTTCCATACATAAATAATAATGCTTGACTAATGATCTCTCTTCAATTTTATGAAATTACATTTTTTTTAGAGAGAAGTTGTTGATTTATTTTACAATCTATCTGGCTGATTTTGGTCATTTGTTTGACAGAGAACAAAAGCATGTACAGTTTTTGAGAACTTTTGCATTTTGATTCTGAATATTTCTTGTGCCTATGAAAAGGCATTATTAATGATATCCAATTACTGGTACTTTTTATTCAGAAACTTTAGAATTTTTGAAGTTTCATTCAAAATAATCTGTAGCGGTAACTGACACTTAGTATAATAGACTAAATGATACATTAAATTTTCGCCTCGCATTCCATGCCAAATTTATAACTTCCTATTAGATGGAAATCATCGAAAATTTGTTGTTCTTTGTACAGGGAGTGTCAATTGATCTTGTTTAAGAACGAAGCTTGCAATAGTTTGGCAATCTTTTGTAATTTGACATTTTATCAGGTAAAAATATCTTAAACCCTGTAAATTAAAGATATTTCGGAGGTTATGACTCATGCGTTTAATTGATTTACTTATTTTGTTACTTCTGGTTTGGTTAATACTGATTCTAATCATATTTGAACCAATTTAAATTTATAATAAATTTGTAAACCTTACATTTTCTGCATCCTTCTCTCAAAACATTACAAATTTCTTCTTCTTCTTCTTCTTCTTAATTAACTTTATTATGGTCCATCAGCTTATTGCTATTTAATTTAATTTGTTTAATTTACAAATATACACAAAGAACAATCAATAAAATCCAGTCAACTCCAAATGGTTGACAGAAAACATGCCCGCGATAAATCAAAACAACAAAAAACCATCGCTAGGCAAAAAATTCCATCTTCAGTTGTCGATGATCCAGATCCCTTGACAGTCCTTCTTGAAATTCAACTTGTGATATTCCAAATAGATTCAAATTTTTGTTATGTCTCGATTGTGATCTGTCAATGTAATTAATATGTTCTGCTGTATTCCGAGATGATCGATTCCTGTTTGTCAATGTTGATTTGTTGAAATCCGGTCAGCACCAATTGATTGATAGAACTTGCCCGCGATATATGGGGAAACACACAAAACCCATCGCGAGATAAATTCTCCTCACAATTGACGATAATCCGTTGTATTCCAATAATATTCAATGTCTAGGTTATGGTTATGATAGAACTTTCTTGTCCACGATTGTTGGTAAAACACAAAAAACCCACGTGAAACAATTGATTCTCCTCACAACTGCCATCGATCGTGATTTGTCAATGTAATTAAATGTTCTTTGGTATTCCGATGATGATCAATTCCGTTTTATCTAGATTATGTGCAAAATTTAAACATTTTTTTCCAATTTCAATTTATATCCAAAATTTAATTAAATCGCAACTTTGCTGAGTTTTCTCCTTGGTATCTTTGTTCTTTGTTACTTTGAAGACAGTTCCCGTAGGTCTGTGAATTATTCCTACGCGTAATTAATTAATTTTGAAGTATTGCACAATTCCACAACCTCCTCATTCGGAGGATGGGAGAAAAACTCACATTACAAATTTTTGCATCTTCTTTTCAAATTTTAAAAATACGTTACAATTTAATATAACCTTTTTGTCCATATAAGGATCATACTTCTTCATTTCTCAACACAATGCAATTAATTAATTCCATATCTATTATTCCTTACCTTTCCAAAGGCAATAGACACCACATGTTGTGATTCTTTCATTTTTTCCTATCAACGCCCCTTTATTAATGATTTGCAATCGAATGTTTTATTTCAAATGATTGATGTCTATTCAACGCTGATGCGCTACTCGTTATTTTTTCTGATATTCTCTTCGCTATCATCATTCCACTACGCAGCTCATTTGCCATTGCCATTTTTCTATTGAGAGTCGTGAAGAGAACCGTTAAATGGAGATATTGATACATTAATAATTGCCAGTATCACTTAGTTAAAGTTATTTTTTTTTTTCAACACAAGTTGCATAATCGAGCTGATTATTTACAGCTGCTTATTTTCACTACAGCTATGCTGCGCGAGTAAAGACTGCAAACACAGCAAGTTTCCATATTTTTCCCATTTTGATGCACGCAAATTGTAATGACCCGTATTTATACTTCAGTTATTGCTCTGTCCATAGCACATTGTATTAAAAGTGAAAATTGTCATTTGCTGGTTGAGTTTAAGGAGAGAGAAAAATTCTGTCCAGCGGCATAATTATGATCTGTAGTGGCAATTGGAATATTATTTACTCAATAAGTAGCAAACGGTAAGGCTGAAAATTTTTATGACTCACTGTTGCCTACTGGATTTTGCTGTAGAAATGCTTTTTCTTAATGAACCTCAGCTGACAGTGTTGTTATAAGGTTGCCTGTAGAATCTCAGTAAGATATTCATATAGGCAATGCATGTAGAACTGAGGACTTTGATAATATTTGATCATATTTGATGATTTGTCAGCACTAAGCCAGACATTCAAACCTCCAACTCTGCACCAGTGATAAAATTTATGTTCAATTTTTTTTCCTTCTAATTTTTATGGCAAAATTAAACCAGTTCGAGATATTGAGGCAATAAAAAATTATTCATTTTTACCACGTTTTTCTTAACTTGCTTTCTTATCTGTCTGATTATCTGTCGAGGTCAAATCTTGTAATCGATTTTTCGACCACTTCTACTGCTCCAATCAAGCTGAAATTTTGCATGCACTTATCTTTCCGGTGACAATACAATATTCAAGCATTTTGGAAACTTAAAACTGCTTAATTATAGTACAATTAAATTGAATTTTTTGTTCTTTAAGGCTTAGCTTATTTTTACATAACATATGAACAACTTTCAATAATTTTAAATTTCAAAAAGCCGTTATGAGTTTGAATCACAAAAAATACGTTACACGACTTTCAATGGTTAAATTCTAGTTTACAAACTAATGCTGATCGATGGATACTTTAAATAATTTTTTAAAACTAAAAAGTAGAAAATAAATACTTTATAAAAAAAAACTTTTTAAAAAACCACGTTTTTACCCGTAGACTAAAAAGTAGAAAATAACTTTTATATTGGGTTCAAAGGATATTGGTTTGAAAATTTGAGATTGATTTGACAGTTTCATACTTAAGTCATGACCATACATGAATTGCAAATTTGTTCACTTCGACCATATCGTATAGTTCTACATCTTAAAACGTGGGCGCATTCATTAATATTGTATATTTGGAAAGCTTAAATTTGGTATAAATGCGCCCACGTTTCAAGATGTAGAACTATACGATATGGTCGAAGTGAACAAATTTGCAATTCATGTATGGTCATGACTTAAGTATGAAACTTTCAAATCAATCTCAAATTTTCAAACCAATATCCTTTGAACCCAATATAAAAGTTATTTTCTACTTTTTAGTCTACGGGTAAAAACGTGGTTTTTTAAAAAGTTTTTTTTTATAAAGTATTTATTCCCGTTACAGCAACAAACAAAATAATAAAAAAAATTGAAACTTTTTTGCTCACTCAGCACGGCCTTGACTCGCAGTCGTTGTCTCTATTAGGATACTTGTTTCTACTTCTTTCGCTGCAAATATTATAAAATATCACGAGAAGAATTTAATTTTGGAAATGCCAAAATGTTCGGCAAGACGAAAACAGCAAGGCAGTCTCAGTCACTTGTTCATGTAAGGTGATGAGCACAATAATAACAGATTATTCTGAATGAAAAGGCATAAAATTATTATTTTAAATTTGTTATTAAGTCCCACAAAATGTCAAAAATCTGACTGCATTAGTAAATGCTAATGCCCGCATATAGACAGACGATCATCATTATCATTACCTTGTTTGTTTTTTTTTTTCTTGTCGAAAGTGTTTGATGAAAAGCGAAAGTAACTGACTAAAAAGTTTGGTGTGTATGTGCA